AACATGAGATTTGGGTGGGGGCATAGATCCAAACCATATCAGCTGGCTAATTTAACAAAATGTTTTTGTAGATATTTTTGTAGATATGGCCTTGCTGTGTTGCCTCCAGACTAGTCTTGAACTCCTAACCTCTGGTAATCCTCCTTCCTCAGTCTTCTAAAGTGCTAGGATTATAGTATATTATCCTTTTTATGTTCTACTGCATTTGATTGATTTTTTGTTTAAAAATTTTGTATCTCTGTTCAAGAACAGTAAGGGTTTCTAGGATTTTTTCCCTTATATGTCTTCTTAGTCTGCTTTGATTGTCATAACAAAATACTGTAGACTGGGTAGCTTAAATAACAGAAATTTATTTCTCGTAGTTCTGGAGACTGGAAGGTCCAGCAGGTTTTATTTTCTGGTGAGATCTGACTTTGTGGCTTGCAGATAGTCACCTTCTTGCTGTGTCCTCACATGTTGGAAAAAGACTGTTGTCTCTTCCTCTTCTTATAAAGGCACTAGTTCTCTTTGATCAAGGCTCTACTTTTATGACCTCATTTAACTTTAATCACTTATTTAAAGGCTCTATCTGCAATACAGTCACATAGGGGAGGTGTTAGGGCTTCCACATACTAATTTTGGAGGTACACAGTTCACTCTATACCACTCGGTCCTTGCACCCCTGCCCAATTCATGTACTTATCACATACAGAATACATCCATTTTACCCCAACAGCCCCAAATGTCTTAACTTATTCTCACATCAACTCTGTAAGTCTAAAGTTCAAAATCTTATCTTAATTTCTAAATCTGTTACTGGTTAGACTGAAGTTACAATTCATCCTGACTCAAAATCCCTTTCCAGCTGTAAACCTGTGAAAAGAAATAAGTTATATGTAACCAGAGTACAACATTGGAACAGGTATAGGATACATATTCCCATTCCAAAAGGGAGACAGTGGAAGGAATAAAGGTGTGACAGGTCTCAGGTGAGCCTAAAACCTAGTAGGGTAAATTCTATTAGGCATTACAGCTTGAGAATAGCCCTCTTTGGTTGATACTGTGTACTCCATGCACACTGGGTTGCCGGTGTCACCCCCCGCCCCAGGTCTCTGCAAGGGCCCCACCCATAGTGCTGTCTGTGAGGGCAGCCCCACCATTGAGGCACTGGGTAGGTCATCCTGGCCCACTGAAACCTGACCTGTGGTCCTACCCTTTGAAACCAAGGAAGAGGAAACAGCCTTGCCTCCTGGGTCTTTGGTGGGAGTGGCAGGCCTCATAATCTCTGAATTGCTTTCAGAGTTTTTCTTATCACACATTCAAACCAAATAGCTTTATGGTCTGGTCTATAGAATCCAAGAAGTCCAACAGTCTACCTTCATTCCTTCCCACTTTCTCTGTCCCCTTTAGTTCAAAATGGTAGTGCCTTTTCTGGTATAATCCCATATCCATTCCTGGCCTCACTGAGCTGGCTGATTAAGTCCACTAGTTATACCCATGGTCTGTTTATCAGTCACACCCTCAGTGTTTTCTTTAGAACAAGCTTTCTTGTTTGTTTGTTTGTTTGTTTTTTGTAATTTGGATAGACTGCAAATTTTCTAAATCTCAACTTCTGGTTCTTTTGTGTTTAACGGTTTCTTCTTCAGTTTATTTCTGTCTTCTCACATTTTAACTATAAGCAGTGAGAAGGAGAAATTAAGCTGCTCCTTCAACACTTTACTTAGAAATCCCCTTAGCTAAATACCCAATTTCATTGCTTGCTGCACATTCTACCTTCCACAAAACACTAGAACACAGTTCAGTCAAGTTCTTTGCCACTTTTTAATAAGGATCGCCTTTCCAGTAGTTTTTAATAACATGCTCCTTATTTATGTTTGAGAGCTCAACAGAATTGCCCTGAAGGTCCCTATTTCCAGCATGCACCTCAAAACTCTTACAGCCTCTACCCATTACCCAGTTCTAAAGCTGCTTCTGTATTCTTAGGCCTTTGTTGTAGTAGCACTTTATTTCTTTGTAACAAAATCTGTCTTAGTCTACTTGGGCTGGTATAACAAAATACTATTGATTTGGTGGCTCAAACAACAATACTGGTCATATTAAATGAGTTAGGCAGGGTTCTGTTTTCCTCTATTTTCTGTGAGAGTTGGTTTGAGAATGCTATTATGATTTTCTTAACACGCACCAGCAGATCTGGACCTAGAGATTACCTTGTGGAAAGATTTTGTTTTGTTTTTCATTGAGACAGGATCTTGCTATATTGCTTAGGCTCCTCTTGAATTCCTGAGCTCAAGTGATCCTCCCACCTCCGCCTCCTGAGTAGGTGGGACTATGGGCATGTACTGTTGTGCCCAATGTGAAAAGGTTTTAAATTATAGAGCAAATTTATTTACTAGATAAAGGGCTACTCAGATTTTCTATTTCT